AGAAAGCCAACCAAGTATGAATACTTGCCTCCTTTCAGATCCGGACAGGATTGTTCAATTTCATTCACAATACTTTACAATGTGTGTGTGCCAGTCTGAGCCAGTTTTTCATTATACGTTTTCTAATGGTTTTTGTATGGTTTTTATATTATGTGATAAATGTTTTTAAACTGTGTTTTATGTTTGTTGTGGCATCAAATTGCTGCCAATTTGTAAGCTGCCTTGAGTCGCCTTCGGTCTGTGAAAGGCAGGATATAAATATGGTAAATAAATAAATTCTCTATTGATGGACAAGGGACTTGAGGGTCATTCTTTACCTGGAGAATTCCTTCTTCTCAGAAGGCGAACTCATGACTCTAGCTAGAGACTCCCTTTGGGGCCATTGGAGATTGAGGACAAATTTGGACCTTCCAAGGAGCCATTTCCTCTTCAGGAAAGGAGAGAGAGAGAGCACTTGAAAACTGAGCCTCCCTAATTTAAAGACAGCTGGAGGAGAAAACTGTCTCTAACTCATCCCCACTTCCAAAGTTCTCCTCTCCCCCAAAAAACGGGGAACTGGGAGTATGGGGAGTGTTCTGGGGAATTTCAGGGTAAAAAAGGTGGGGTTCAGATGCCACAGCCTTTTGGAAAACGGCATTCATAACCTTTTAGGAAAACCGGGAATCTCCACAGGGTTTTGGAAGCGTGTCTCTTTTGGAGACTTTTCTTTGTAGCAGGAAAAATTAATAGCTGTCATGTATTTGTTTGAAGGCAGAGTCTCCACCAAAAGGAATTGGACATACTCCATACTCCAAGTTCCCCATTTTTTGGGGGGAGGGGAGAACTTTGGTTCTGGCCCAACTTACCTGTCCGAACGTATCTCCCCTTATGAACCATCTAGGACCTTGAGATCATCCGGAGAGGCTCTGCTCTTGGCCCCGCCTTTGTCCCAGGTACGTTTGGCGGGGACGAGAGACAGAGCCTTCTCAACGGTGGCCCCCCGGCTATGAAACACCCTCCCCAGAGAGATTAGATTTGCTCCCTCCCTCTTAACGTTTCGGAAGCAACTCAAAACGTGGCTGTTTGAGCAAGCATTCACAAACACAGAGTAATGGATACAGATAACTGATATAAGAACTGATGACTGACAATGGAACTGGACAATGCTTGACAATAAGGGGACGCCAATGATGTTGTTTTTATTGTTGTGTGATTTATGTAATTTTAATGTTTTAAATTGTATTATGATACTATGTATACTGTTTTGTTGGAAACCACCTTGAGTCGCCGATAGGCTGAGAAAGGCGGTATACAAATACAGTAAGTAAATAAAATAAATAAATAACCAAGCAATACAATGCAAGACATTTATCCGCTCTTACATTATTTCGAAGTTCCCATACCCTCTTCTGATTGGCTGAAAAGTGATCAAGTTTGGATCCAGATTCTCATTGGCTATGGAATCCAGTTGCAGTCAGAGATTAATTGACTTTTCTTTGTAGCAGGAAAAATGAACAGCTGTCATGAACATTAGGAAGAACTTCCTGACTGTGAGAGCCGTTCAGCAGTGGAACTCTCTGCCCCGGAGTGTGGTGGAGGCTCCTTCTTTGGAAGCTTTTAAGCAGAGGCTGGATGGCCATTTGTCAGGGGTGATTTGAATGCAATATTCCTGCTTCTTGGCAGGGGGTTGGACTGGATGGCCCATGAGGTCTCTTCCAACTCTTTGATTCTATGATTCTATGTATTTGTTTGAAGCCAGAGTTGTTTGAAGAGTCTGCCCAGAAAGAAAGGGATGGATTTGGCACATGGTTTGAGACAATACGTCAACAGTCCAAGATAGGAATATAGGTTGAGTCCAGTATACACAAAAGGGTAAGCCTCAGAGACAAAGGCAGGGTTATGCTAATATGAACAGTTCAATGTAAAACATTCAGATTTCATCAGGGAAATACTGAATGAGTAACAAGGAAATACACATTGTACACATGGAAATGCTAGGTTGGGGATAATAGAATAGCAGAGTAAAAGAGTCCATGTGGGCCATTTATTCCAACCCCCTACCATGAAGGAAAAGCACAATCAAAGCACCTCTTACAAATGGCCATCTGATCTCTGCTTAAAAGCCTCCAAAGAAGGAGATTACACCACATTTCAAGGCAGAGATTTCCACTGTTGAACAGCTCTCATGGTCAAAAAGTTCTTCCTAGTGTTCAGGTGGAATCTTCTTTCCTGTAATTTAAGCCCATTGCACTGAATCCTAGTCTTGGTAATAAGCACTTCTGACTGTATCTCGGCTGATATTTGGAGATATATTTGACAGAGAGAAGAATAAATGCATGATGCAATGTGTAACAAGGAAATACACATTGTATACATGGAAATGCTGGGTTGGGGGTAATAGAAGAGCAGAGTTGGAAGAGACCACATGGGCCATTTATTCCAACCCCCCACCATGAAGGAAAAGCCCAATCAAAGCTCCTCTGGCAGATGGCCATCCAACCTCTGCTTAAAAGCCTCCTGAGGAACCCCTCTATCTTGTGGGGTTTCTCAGGGGGCCATTCGCTCCCCTCTGTTGTTTAACATCTATATGCGACCACTTGCTCAGCTGGTTCGAGGTTTTGGGCTTGAGTGTTATCAGTACGCTGATGACACTCAGCTGGTGCTGAAGATGGAAGGCCGACCAGAGTTGTTTCCATCACTGCCTCGAGGCCATTACTGGATGGCTGCGTGCCAGCAGACTGAGAGTGAATCCAGCAAAGACGGAGATCCTATGGCTGGGTCAACCGGGCAGTGGGGATATCCAGCTGCCTACCCTGGATGGCGAGGCGCTACGCCCATCACCATTGCTAAAGAGTCTGGGAATCCTTTTGGACCCTCTGCTGACGATGGAGGCCCAGGTCTCCGCCACTAGCAGAACCGCCTTTTTTCATCTGCGGCAGGCTAGACGGCTGGCCCCCTACCTGTCCAGGGACAACCTAGCTATGGTGATCCAGGCTACTGTCATCTCAAGACTGGACTACTGTAACGCCCTCTACATTGGCCTTCCTCTGTCGGTGATCCGGAAGCTCAAGTTGGTACAAAATACAGTTGCTCGGCTTCTTGCGGGAACTCCGATGAGATGCCACATAACCCCAATCTTACTGCAGCTGCATTGGTTACCAATTGAGCACCAGATCCCTTTCAAAGGGATGGGACTCACCTTGAAGGCCTTGCATGGTCTGGGGCCGATGTACCTGAGGGACCGCCTCACCCCCTACCAACCCCAGAGATCCCTCCGTTCTGAGGACCAAGATCTATTGGAAATTCCCAGTGTCAAGACCTTGTGTCTAACAGCAACCAGTCGCAGAGACTTCACAGCAGTGGCACCATCACTCTGGAATACTCTGCCACCTGAAGTCCGTGCCTTGTGGGACTTACCAGCTTTCCGCAGGGCATGTCTATTTCGACGGGCCTTTGATCTCTGATTGTTTTTAAATTGTTTTTAAATTGTGTTCGATTTTAGCCTGTTCTTGTAAGCTGCTCTGAGCCCCAGGGGAGTGGCGGCATATAAGTTCAAATAATAAATAAATAAGGAGCTTCCACTACACTCCAAAGTTGGAGAGTTCCACTGTTGAACAGCTCTCATAGTAAGGAAGTTCTTCCTAATGTTCAGGTGGAATCTCCTTTTCTGTCATTTGAACTGAATCTTAGTCTCCAGAGCAGCAGAAAACAAGTCTGCTCCCTTTTCCTTAAGACATACTTTCAAATGTATTGTCAAAGGCTTTCATGGTCGGAACCACTGGGTTGTTGTAGGTTTTTTTTCTTTTTCGGGCTGTATTGCCATGGTCTAGAGGCATTCTCTCCTGACGTTTCACCTGCATCTATGGCAAGCATCCTCAGAGGTAGTGAGGTCTGTTGGAACTAGGGAATATATATATATATACCCTTTTCCCTAGTTTCAACAGACCTCACTACCTCTGAGGATGCTTGCCATAGATGCAGGCGAAACGTCAGGAGAGAATGCCTCTAGACCATGGCCATACAGCCCGAAAAAAAACCTACAACAACCCATACTTTCGAATGTTTAAATGTGGCAATCATGTCTCCCCTCAACCTTCTACAGGTTAAACATATCCATCTCTTTAAACCACTCTTCATAGGATATGGTCTCCAAACCTTTGATCATTTTAGTTGCCTTCCTCTAGACATTCTCCAGATTAGAGTCAACATCCCCCTTGAAATGTGGTGCCCAGGACTGGACACAGTATTTCAGGAGAAGTCTGACCAAAGTAGAATAGAGGGCCACCATTATTTCCCCTGATCTAGAGATTGTTCTTCTTTTGATGCAGCCCAAGACCACACTGGCTTTTTTAGCTGCATCACATTGTCGGCTCACACTGCATCACACAGTTGGGAGAAGAATTTTAAAAATACAGCACATTTATAGCTTTGGGAAGATAGTAAAATGAGGGGCAAGAGCGATACAAGACTGGAATATAAAGTCAAAAACAGTTGTGAAAATGGGACAGCATGGCTCTTACAACTGGATTCAAATTTGTCATAGATAACAGCCAAGCCATTGAAATAAATACTGTATTTCTTCCGTTCTTAGAATGGAAGAACGCCTCTAAAACACCTCTAAAAATGGGGTGCATCTTACAATCATAGGTCTCTTTTACGTGTTTTGCTGGTGGTTGTGGTACTAAAATAGAGTGCATCTTACAATTAATGGAAGTATACAATAGTAGAAATACAATAGCACATAGCATTCGAAAAGATTAATAAGAGCCCAACTGATTCCCAAAGGTACACTGTTATTTACCCTCACAACTTAAATAAAGAGGGGTGTTTTGGTGTACATTTCTTTATTTGAATAAAAAGTATGTGATTGTCCTTCTGATAGCTGGTAAATAATTGGTCCAAGAGCATGGGAAACTGAACCAGGATTTCCTCATTCCTTTATTGTTGTTTTGGACCACTATTACTGATTAAAGGCTATATATAACCTAGAAAAGGTAGTGAGTGACCATTGGCAAAGAAGATCCCAGTACAGCTGTCCAGTACATCTGTCCACTGAGGGGAAACCAGCATCAGGTGAGTGACTGAGAAGATGTCCTGCAGGTCTTGAGTGGAAAGGTTTCTCCAGGTTGTAGACTAAAGCATCAAAAGTGTATTGCTTTAACATAAAAAGCAATACACAAAATACACAAAAAGTATAAAGGTTCAGCAACAACTATGTTTTAACTGAGTTGTAGGATTTAAGTACAAGGGGAATAATATTTCTCATTCTGTTAGTATGTGCGGTGATGAGTAATTTCCCTGAGAACAGAAATAGGAAAAGTGTATGGAACTGACAAGAATATTGAACTTTCTGGATAGCTCAGTATCAAGCAAAGGAGAAAAAAGGTAAAGATAAAGGTTTCCCCTTGACATGAAGTCTAGTCGTGTCTGACTCTGGAGGTTGGTGCTCATCTCCATTTCTAAGCTGAAGAGCCGGTGTTGTCCATAGACGCCTCCAAGGTCATGTGGCCAGCATGACTGCATGGAGTGCTATCACTTTCCCACAGGAGTGGTACCTATTAATCCATTTACATTTGCATCTTTTTGAACTACTAGGTTGGCAGAAGCTGAGACTAACAGCAGGAGCTCACCCCACTCCCCTGATTTGAACCGCAGACCTTTCAGTCAGCAAGTTCAGCAGTTCAGCGGTTTAACCCACTGTGTTCCCCTGATTTGAACCACCAACCTTTCAGTCAGCAAGTTCAGCAGCTCAGTGGTTTAACCCACTGACTGGTGATGAAAGTGCTAAGAGAGCAAGTACAAAGAATTCGGGATCCAGATAGTTTCATCACACAGGAAATAATTTCACTATATGTCTTCTGTATCCTGCAGACAAACTTGGCAGGGTGCAGAAGCCATTCTTAAATACTTAAGAGCAAAACCAGGCTTTCTGGAATGCAATGGATAGAATCATGACCCACAAAAGTCCAACTGTTTTGAACATCTTTATGACATGACAACAAAACAAAACAGCCCATATATTCACTGAAGTTGTATGGAATAAAAGTCTATATGCAGAAATGTACATTAATTGTGCCATTCAGTCCTTGGGTCAGCATTGTGCATCCTGATATGTCTCCACATTTTCAACAGCTCCTCACAAGCAATTTTACTTCAGGAACCTTGAATAGAATATAGATGTTCAACATGTCCATGCATTTCCATATGAGGACATCAATAGGCATAAATACCACCATGATCTCAACCCACACATTCCCAACAGATTTCATCTGTGTTCACCATCCCTGCAGTTTTTCTTTTAATTGCAGCAATAAAAGATATGTTGTTGTTGTTTATTTGTTCAGTCGCTTCCGACTCTTCATGACCTCATGGACATGTTGCTTCACAACCTATTTAGTTGCTTCCCACTGTTTTACCATTTATTGTTCACTGAATGTCTCTGGAATGTCTTCTTCCCCAACTCACCCTCCTTAGAGGTCATCGAGAAGATGGGACTCCTTACCTGTGCCAGTCTCTGCCTTTTTGGCCTTCTGCTCTCCAGTCCTTTTCCAGGCGGTAAGACCCCTTTAGGAAACATTAAGATTATAAAGACAGTTAATTGGAGAGATCACCTAAAAGTAGCAAAACATAGCTCTTACTAATCTTCATATACTTCAAATCAAATTCTTCGTTCAAGTGATTTTTTTCTCTAGTATAGTGACGATTTTAATCAGGTTAAGCAAACACAGTTATTGCTGTTTCACAAAGTCTGGTTTGCACTAAACCAGAGGTGAATCCCAGGCTGTGGTTTTTAAATCTTGGAAAACTCCTTCCCACCCTCTAAAGTTGTTTTAAATATCCACACATATCATCTCTTTACAGTTGATGCAATTTTGTATTTTTCTTTAACGCAGAAGTCATAGAGAGAAAGATGTTGTTAACTATAACAGAGCCTAACCAGAACAAAAAAATTGTGTCTTGGTTATCTCCTGTGCTGATTCAGAAAATTGCATTAAATAGATCACATCAGCTCTAGTTTTTCATATATATGATTATGGTTTTCTGTAGGGAGAAGATTAAAACTGGTATATGCCAGAAATTCGGTATCTCAAAAACTGGAGTGGATAGGAGAAAATTTGTGCCATTTTTGGAATCTGCAGGTCAAATATACCCAGCAACAGGTCTGACATTTGAGGCAATAAAATGTGTACTGGCCAGTGTAATGTGGGATGGATCAAATGGTCTGTTCCCATTACAAAGACCATAGCAAAAAGGACCTGGTGAGAAATTTTGAGGAAGAATTAGCCAGTGTCCATCCGCTGCAGCACAGTTGCATCATTTGTTTACTTACGATGTGTAGGAGTGTCAGTCCAGTGACCCATAAGATCTGGAGCATTGATCCATTTGGCTTTTCCAAACTGGGTTACTTGGAATCACCTATTACGTTGTGTGTCTTAGGCCCCTTCCACACAACAGTATAAAATCCCATATTATCTGCTTTGAACTGGGTTATATGGCAGTGTGGACTCAGGATACCTGAGTCCACACTGCCATATAACCCAGTTCAAATCAGATATTGTGGATTTTCTGCCATGATATTCTGGGTTATATGGCTGTGTGGAAGGGCCCTTAGAGGTTTTACCTTGTGTTTTATTTCACATGAAAAATTCTCCACACCTTAGTATAGGCCTCTCCAACCTGCAACCTTCAAGGTTTTGATGTTTCCAGTACCCAGAAGCTCTTGCCAGGTTGTTCTGTTACAATGGTGAGGAATTCCAGGACCTGAAATCCAAAACACCTGGAGGGCCACAGGATGAAGATGCTTGCGTAACTGCCAAAGAGATAAACAACCTGTGGCCTCCCAGATGTCGATGTCTCTAACCTCCATCAGTTGTAGGCACTATGGTAAATTGTTGAGGGGTTGTATGATGAAGGCTGGAGAGCGCACAACACCCACAGGATCACAAAATGTCATCAGTAAACTAGATTAGTAATATTCCCCTACTTAAGAGACAATATTGATAACCTCTTCAACCATAACTTGTCCTTCATTCCTCTCCCTTTCCTCTTGCAGCTGAGGCTGCTTCCTGTGCCAGAGACTGGATGCAAAACCAAGGGAATTGTTATGCGTATTTTGACAACAGGTTGACATGGGCAGAAGCTGAGGTAGGAAACATTTCCCACAACTTGGAGTCTACGCTCTGTTGTCTTCGCCTCATGTTTCTCAAGGAATCCAGAATTCAGATAGTTAACATATTTAAGCACAGATTAAACTAGGGTAGGGAGGGGATATCCAACTTCATAGAAAGCAGTGAAGTCAAATTGCTCTGGCAGTGCTCTTATCCCTATGTGGTAAGATGATTGTGTGAATAACATTCATTCCCCATCCCTTCCTTCTCCACCTTCAGATGGACTGCCAGAGCTATGGCCGTGGGGCCCATCTTGCCTCTGTTCTCACCAAGGCAGAGTCAGCTCTCGTTGCCGACTACATCTCAACTTACCAAAAAGAGAAAAGCCATGTCTGGATTGGACTCAATGATCCCCGCCAGGTGAGCTTCTTCCTTACTCAGGCATTCTCATCAGCAATTTATTGAGACTTTGATGATTCCATTCAAGACACAACTGAAAAATACTACCCATTGAATGGCCATATTCTCTTAGAATCTTTCCTTCTCTGGACATTTCCTTTTCAAAGCATCCTTCAGTACTCTTGGGTGTAGTTGATCTGGCCCTGGGGACTTGAACTCATTTAGAGTGGCCAGGTATTCCTGGACGACTTGTTTCCTAATTTGGGGTTGGATGTCCTCTAATCCCTCATCCACTCCGTCTTGCTGAGGTTGAAGATGACTTTCTTTTTGTGAGAAGACCAAGGCAAAGAAGGCATTAAGTAGTTCTGCCTTTTCCCTACCCCCTATCAGCATTGCCCCATCTTCTCCTATCGCCTCCTTGTTTTTCCAAATGTTCTCTGCAGTTTTGCACCTGTTTTCCCCAAAGCACTGTTTTTGTATATGTATATTTTGTAAGAGTTTTCCCCAATATTCTCTTAGAACAGGGGTCCTCAAACTTTTTAAACGGGGGCCCGGATTACTGTCCCCCAGACCATTGGAGGGCTGGACTATAGTTTTTTTAAAAAAATTATGACCAAATTCCTATGCACACTGCGCATGTCCTATTTTGCTACTGTTATGAATTGTAATGTAAATATCTGATATGCATGATGTATTTTTATTGTCACAATCTGAACCTAAAGCATAGTTTTAGCATTTCTGAAGATAAAATAGTTCCAATTAAAATGAGGAAAACATTCTATTTTCTGTCTTTTTGAAAGTGGTTTTTGGAATATGTAAGCATGAGTCCCCTTTCAAGGGGGGGGGGGGGAGAAGGGCAGGGTATAAATGAAGACTTGACTACTCCGATGTGCCTTTCCTGAATAGGATAACCTCCAGCACTACGTCCCAGAAGCACTTTATTAGAGCTTAAGACTCTCAACCTGGGGGTGGGGGAGTTGTGAGGACATGTCAGAGGGATTGTCAAAGACCATCAGAAAACACAGTATTTTCTGTTGGCTCAATATATCATTGGTGGAGTTCAGAATGTCCCAGCAACTACAACTCCCAAATGAAAAAAATAAATTCCTCCCCCAACCCCACCAGTATTCAAATTTGGGCATATTGGGTATTTCTGCCAGATTTGGTCCTGTAAATGAAAATACATCCTGAATATCAAATATTTACATTATGGTTCATAAGACTAGCAAAATGACCGTTATGAAGTAGCAATGAAAATAACGTTATGGTTGGGGGTCACCACAACATGAAGAACTGTATTAATGGGTCACAGCATTAGGAAGGTTGAGAAACACTACTTTAGGGTATTTATGTCACTATTCTGAGTGTATTTTCCGCAAACACACATTTCTGTATTTATTATTTTTGGAGTGCAAATTAGACTACAAAACAATGAGTGGTGTGGATATAATTATATCATTGATTTCCAGTTGAGTTACAAGTTTGAGAGTTTTGGATGGATAAGTCGGTACAAATCTTTGGACCTGAGAAAATCATCTTTGTCTTTGCTAATCACAAAATATGTCTTTCCGATTTCTACAGAATCGCAGGTGGAGGTGGTCTGATGATTCAGTCTACAATTACAGGGCCTGGGACATAAATCAGCCAAACAACCTTGAAAGGGCTCAATACTGCGTGGAGTTGCTTCAAAACACAGGTAAGTGAATTATGTGACATAATTGCTGGCCTAGATCTAAATCAGTAATGGTCAACCTCAGTTTGACCATTATCTAAGGTAGCTGGGACTGGTGGGAAGTGAAGATGAAAACGGCTTCAGCACCAACCTTAGAGCAACCTAGAAGTTCAAGATGAATTCCTTTTCATTGTTGTTCTAGATCCTACATCAGTGGTTCTCAACCTGTGGTTCCCCAGATGTTTTGGTCTTCAACTCCCAGAAATCCTAACAGGTGGTAAACTAGCTGGGATTGTAGTCCAAAACACCTGGGGACCCACAGGTTGAGAACCACTGTTCTACAGCGTCTCTAGCCACTGGCTCTACCTATTTTTCTTTTAGTTTGGGGGCCATTTTCAAGTAATTGTTTTGTCCCCAAATAGGCCATGACTGCCAGAGAACTCTGCTAAGACCTTCCAAAACAAATAAAAAAGGGGGGGGGGCTGAAAATGGTGATCAAAAGTGGCATGCTGAGGTAGCCTGCAGACCAGGCGCAGAAAAGGTCCTCAATGCCTGTACATCTGATGGTTTTCCAGTTAATGACAATTAGTAATTATTTTGGCATTTTGTGTGTGTGTGTTAACAACTTCTTCTATTTTAGGTTATAAACAGTGGAACGATAGGTCATGTCAAAATTCTAATACTTACATCTGCAAGTATGAACTCTAGAGAAGATGGCAGCTTCCAGCGAAGCCTTCTTGAATGTTGAACGCTTGGATCAACTGGCTTCAGATGCTGTGTTACCTCTTCCCAGTCCAGCAAGCAGTTGACCCCCACCTTCTGCTTCTTTGGACCTCCACTATGATGCCCAGCAGAAAATTAATAAACTCCCTCTTATGTGTGCATTCAAAAATATTGTTATTTGCAAATTCTCCTCTTGGATGACTACAAGGGGGGGGAACTCTACTGGACATTTCTGCTTCAGTTCAGAATGGGAAACTTGGGCAGGACAGCTTCTCTCTGAGCCCTTCCAGACAGGCCCTATATCCCAGGATCTGATCCCAGGTTTTCTGTTTATCCCAGATTACCTGGCAGTACGGACTCACATAATCCAGTTTAAAGCAGAAAACCTGGGATGAGATCCTGGGATATTTATTTATTTACTATATTTATATCTTGCCTTTCTTGACCCTGAAGGAGATTCAAGGCTGCTTCCAACATAGGAAATAATCCAATGCCTTAAAAACAATATACACCCAATATACAATTAAATAAACATTTGAATTAAAAAATTAAAAACATGATTAGAAAACATTAAAACATTTAAAGCATTACAATTACTACCATAAACCATGCTATCCGCAATCAAAATCTAGGCCATTCCAGAAGTCATTACACATAATTCCAAATTAATCTATTGCACTGTATTATTCACCAAAGACTTGATCCCAAAGTTACGTTTTCACTCGCTTTCTGAAGGTCAGGAGAGAAGGGGCTGATCTAATATTGCTGGGGAGGGAGTTCCACAGCCGAGGGGCTACTGTCTGTCTGGAAGGGCACTCAGTCTGGAATGGGAAGTTTCTCATGCCTCAATTCCATCTTCTTCTTAATGATTTCCACCTGAACATTAGGAAGAACTTCCTGACTGTGAGAGCCGTTCAGCAGTGGAACTCTGCGCTGTAGTGTGGTTGAGGCTCCTCCTTTGGAGGCTTTTAAGCAGAGGCTAGATGGTCATCTGTTGGGGGTGGTTTGAATGTGATTTTCCTGCTACTTGGCGGGGGTTGGACTGGATGGCCCATGAGGTCTCTTCCAGCTCTAGGATCCTATGATTCTATGATTCATTCAAGGTCTAATAATTCCAATATTCTTTGCATCAATGATACTCCTACAGTTTCTGATAGTTTTTCTAAAACAAGAGTATGAAACATGTAGCCTCCATTTCCCACACTTGGTACACACACCTGAAGTATATCAGGATATACACACAGTATATTTTGTTTTCCCAATGCCTTCCTCTGAAGTATTGTCTAGCGTATCTAGTATGCCTTGCTGCTTTGCCCTCCAAGTATTAGCAGTTCTCATCCTGCTGAAACCCTCTACCCAGTTTACTAAACTCAATGGCACTTTTGACATTAGACATACAAAATAATGCCATCTCCTGGAGATTTAAACATCTCCTTATCTACCGACTGAGAGGTCCTTTAATCAAACAGATACTTCAAATTTCATCCTAACACGCCATCTAAATTTGCCTTTCTCTCACATTATCATTTGGAGTTTATGTTTCTACCTAGCAACAATAAGAAAGGACTTCTTCACATACTACTTCATCACACTAGGGGTTAAAATCCTGTTTCTGCCTCCTGCAAAATTCTGGAGTTTGTAATTTAGTGAGGCTGTTAAGGACTCCTCCCTAAACTACAAACTCTAGGATTCTACAGGAGGCGGAAACTGGATTTTAAGTGGATTTTTCCTCTAGTGTGATGAGGAAACAATGAGTCCTTTTAGCTATTTGATTCCCTCTGTTCCCAACTTCTTCAATTCAGGACTGATTTTGACCAACGTTTACACATGCTTGTTTTGCACTGAAATGACATCTTCTGCATAGAATGTAATATCACTTAATAGAGATGTTATTTTTCACTAAGTTTTAGTACCAAAATGAATCAAGGAGTTGGAAAACTGTTCAGCAGTGGAACTCTCTGCCCCAGAGTGTGGTAGAGGCAAACAGTATTTTGGCAGCCCCCTCCAAACCAATCATTGATATATATTTTCTGTTTGTCGTGGGAGTTCTGTGTGCCATATTTGGTTCAATTCCATCATTGGTGGAGTTCAGAATGCTCTTTGATTGTAGGTGAACTATACATCCCAGTAACTACACTTGCCGCACTTGCTCCCTTGCCTGGCCCGCTTTGGGTCCGGAGGCGTACCTGAAGACCCCGGCGTGTGCACCAAAAGTCACCTCTTCTCCTGACTTTCTCCTCAGCCATTGGGACCAAGAGAGAGAGAGAGAGGTGGAGATGCCCACCTTTCCTGAAGGTAGGCGCAAAAACAAAGGAGGGAGCGGAGGTGGGAGATACCTCCAGCCGGAGGGGCTCTCTCTCTCTCTCTCTCTCTTGGTCCCAATGGCTGAAGAAAGTCAGGAGAAGAGGTGACTTTTGGTGCGCACGCTGGGGTCTTCAGACATGCCTCCAGACCCGAAGTGGGCCAGGCGCAGCGGCTCCATCCCTTGGCCCACCCGTGGATTGGGGAGAGGAGAGGAGGCAGGTGGAGCGCCGGGGGATCAGGAAAGGGAGCCGATCATGGGGAAGGGATCAAACGCGGAGAACGATTGAGCGCCAGCTCTGCTCGCGCACCCGGTGGCCGGGTGTAGCAGGAACAAGAAGGGCTAGGCGAGGCTCAAGAGCCCGGCCCCTTTGGGAAGAGGATCACCCGGCAGTGAGGCAAGAAAGCCGAGGCTCCCCCCGGACTGCTAGGGCTGTTGTGAGCTGAGGGGGCGCTCCTCAAGTGGCGGTCGAGGGGCATTTACAGAGGCGCCTCTGCGCCCCTGGCAAAAAAAAAAAGTGTTCTGCGACCGCTTACTTCGCATAATGGACAAGCCGCCCCTGGGTGGAGGCTCCTTCTTTGGAGGCTTTTAAACAGAAACTGGATGTTCATCTGTCGGGGGTGCTTTGAATGTGATTTTCTTGCTTCTTGGCAGAGGATTGGACTGGATGGCCCACAAGGTCCCTTCTAACTCTATGATTATATGATTCTCTGCCCGTATTGGACTGATACCAAAGTAGGAAGAAGCCCCAAAGAGATCATCTCAGCCCACTCTTTTGGAAACCTCTTGTGTGCCCTTGAGCTTCACCCCTTCTTTCCAAAAGGAGACCCCATTGAACTTATTTAGGAATTCCTTCCATACACCAAGGCCTTCTAGTTGGCTAAGGGAAATCCCAGTGCCAACATAAACTAAACTGAATAAACATCAGGGCAGAGTGCTCCATTACAAACTTTCCAATAAACAGAAAACCAAACTATGTAAAACATTGTGTTGTCGAAGGCTTTCATGGCCGGAATCACTGGGTTGCTGTGAGTTTTCCGGGCTGTATAGCCATGTTCCAAACCTGCTATCAAATGAGAAGCCCAGCAACTCAAACTCATCGAGGTGGGCAATGCATGAGACTGAATGCCCATAATATTAGAGAAATACACTGTAGCACTGGCAGCAGCTAATTGATCGATTGGTTGATCTTAACTATTCAAAAGACTCAAAAGTAGCCTGAGATACTTTGTTGACTTGCCTGAACAAAATTGTGTCTAGTCTCAGTGTCACCTTCTTGGCAGAAGAGATGTAGATGACTAGAATGCAAATACTAGCACAGCAAACAAGTGACTTTGTGTACAGAAAGATATTTTGTGTAAACACTGCTACTACATTAATGTGCAAAGGGTGTGCCTTCTTGGATTACCTTACGACAGTTGTACACCTGCAAACTTTAAACCACACAGATCACAGAGAATCCTTGGCAAAGGAATATGTACACAGGACTCCTTTCCCGATGGCAGGAACTGTGATTAACTTGCGTTCCTGGGGATTATTGTGTTTGCATTGCTTTATTGTATACTTAGTTTGTTACATATTTTCCATTGAGCCACCTAGGTCATGGAATTGTATAACTTTCAGAGAGACCATATGGGACTTCTTCTGTAAGGATAAGAATCCATCAATCCCATTCCTATGCAACAGCAACAGAAGTCACACAATCTTCCAGATATAAAGAGATTACAACTCCAAGTATTATTTACCACCATTGCCAGTGCTAAGAAAGTCTGGGATTGCTGATCCAACAACATCTGAAGAATTGTAGGAGTCTCTAGCCTACTATAAAATAATTCCAACATCCCAATAAGCCTCCTTCGGGCTGATAACAACAACATGTTGACAGCTAGAACATAAATTGGGATATATCAGATGGGTTCAGCCATGCATTGGTGATATAACTTTTACATGTTCAGTAGCCCAACTTGGCAAAATGGGCTAAAATTGTGTATTTGGTTCACACTCTGGTTACATCCCACATACATTACTGCAACTATGTGGAGTTGCCTTTGAAGAGTGTTCAGAAGCTTCAATTGTTCCAATGGACAGTGGTCAGGTTGCTCACTAAGCAATGTGCAGGGAGCACACAACCCCCTGTTGCGTCAGCTCCACCAGCTGCAAGTCTGCTACCAAGCACAATTCAAAGTGCTTCCTAGAAGGAGACCAATGACCAATCTCAATAAAATAGTGAAGAGCAGAGACATAACACTGGCATAGAATCATAGAGTTGGAAGAGATCTCATGGGCTATCAAGTCCAACCCCCTGCCAAGAAGCCAGGAAAATTGCATTCAAAGCACCCCCGACAGATGGCCATCCAGCCTCTATTTAAAAGTTTCCAAAGAAGGAGCCTCTACCCCACTCTGGGGCAGAGAGTTCCACTGCCTAACAGCTCTCACAGTCAGGAAGTTCTTCTTAATGTTCAGATGGAATCTCCTTTCTTGTAGTTTGAAGCCATTATTCCACGTCCTAGTCTCCAGAGCAGCAGAAAACAAGCTTGCTCCCTCCTCCCTATGACGTCCTCTCACATATTTATACATGGCTATCATGTCTCCTCTCAGCCTTCTCTTCTTCAGGCTCCTCATAGGGCTTATTCTCCAGACCCTTGATCGTTTTAGTCACCCTCCTTTGGACACATTCCAGCTTGTCAACATCAAAGATATGCATAGTTAAAGCAATGATATTCCCTGTAGCAACCTATGGATTTGAGAGTTGGGCCATAAGAAAGTCTGAGCGAAGGAGGATAGATGCTTTTGAACTGTGGTGTTGGAGGAAAATTCTGAGAGTGCCTTGTATCGCAAGAACATCAAACCAATCCGTACTCCAGGAAATATATCCTGACTGCTTACTGGAGGATAGGATATTAGAGATAACGTTGAATCACTTTGGCCACATAATGAGAAGGCAGGAAAGCTTGGAGAAGACAATGATGCTGGGGAAATTGAAGGAAAAAGGAAGAGGGGCCGACCAAGGGTAAGATGGATGGATGGTATCCTTGAAGTGACTGGCTTGACTTTGAAGGAACTGGGGGTGGCCATGGCCAACAGGGAGCTCTGGCGTGGGCTGGTCCATGAGGTCACAAAAAATTGGAAGCGGCTGAACAAATAAACAACAACAACCTTAACCAAGTGCCAAAAGAACTTCAAGCATGCCAGGGTAATGGTACAAAGCTCAGACTTTCAAAAAGAAAAGGGCTTCACAAAAGAAAAGACGTTGGGCAGAAGGAAGGAGGCAATAGCCAACAAGGGAGTACATGTTGTATACATAGAATCTAGGGCTGTGGAGAAGAATTGAATGTAACACTTTACTGAACATGTATGGCTTTGTTATGCTAGTAAAGTTTGGAGCTATAACCATATATCCAATGCAATCTAAAGTCATAAATTGCTGTGAGTAAAACACAGCAGGATAGGTTTCACATCTAAGCATAGGTAACAGCAGAAATAAAAGTATGGGGCATTAGTCAAGATGAATCTGAGGTTTCCTGAATGCGAATCTGATTTGGTATCTGTGCTCATCACCACTTAGATACGTATTTACTTACTGATTTAATAAAGGATAAATTGTTCCTCTCTTAAAGCTGATGACTGATGAGTAGATGATCCATGGATATACAAACTGGAATCAGGATTTCCTGATTTATTGGACACATTCTGCATATGCTTGTATGCTAAATAAATATCCCAGCAAGAGAGAGAGTGCAGCCAAAGAGGATCCCAGTTCAGCTGTCCGCAACATCTGTCCACAGAGGAGAATACCAACAAAAGGTGAGTGACCAAGAAGATCTCCTGCAGGTCTTTAGTTAAAGGGTTTCTCCAAGCTACAGTCTAGATTGGTGGTTCTCAACGTTCCTAATGCTGCAACCCCTTAATACAGTTTCTCATGTTATGGTGACTCCCAACCATAACATTATTTTTGTTGCTATTCCACAACTGTGATTTTGCTACTGTTATGAATCATAATGTAAATATCTAATATGCAGGATGTATTTTCATTTACTGGACCAAATTTGGCACAAATACCCAATACGCCGAAATGTGAATACTTGTGGGGTTGAGGGGGGGATTGATTTCATCATTTGAAGAGACACAAATGGAGGGCAAGGGGGAGAAAGGTACCAAGAGGAAGGCACATCAAGCCAACCCTCACCACCTTCCACCTGGAAACCGATGCCCTCACTGTGGAGAACATGCAGGTCAAGAATAGGGCTCCACAGTCACCTATATATCCACCGCCAAGACACTACACTTGGAAGGACATCATACTCTGACAATGAAGGATCGCCTAAGTAAGTAAATAATGTCACCCAGCATGTTTCCTTGAGGTTCCATATAAAACTCAGTATTCGCCTTCACTGCAGTTTTCCTTCCAATAGCAACAATGAAAAATATGGCACCACTTAAAATTTATTTAATTACATGTCATTTTGGCATCCACTGCTCACAAACTCGACTTTTGAATGTCTTCATTTTTTATATAAAGATCACCCAGAAGATGGGACTCCTCACCTATGCCAGCCTCTGCATTTTTGGCCTTCTCCTCTCTGGACCTTTTCCAGGAGGTAAGTTCCCTTATGAAGCATCAAGATTATGACTAGGGTTAATGAGTGTTGACTAAAGGTAGCTAAAATTTACTTATGCAATCTTTAAAATGATCTTTTAAATGATTGCATAAGTCAAGTTGATCAAACAAAGTTAATGCTACCTCACAAGGTCAGGTTTTCAGTAAATCAAGGTTACAACCACTGGACCACACTTTGGCACCTTGAAAGCCTCCTGTCTGTCCCTCAATGTTATTTCAAAACAACAACTCACACACTAAGCTTGTGCAATTTGGCTGGAGGACAATCTGGTTTTTGTATCCAAATTTTGTTGGGTATCCAGATCAATTTTTGGGATCCTCTCAAAAATCAGCTAATGGAAAAAATTATTTTTGGCTAGGCAGCTGAAAGATCCGGGAAGATCCGGCCCACTGGCGGGAATGGGGAACTTACGAGGCTCCCCTTTCTGTTCCTGGGATCCTTTCCTTCCTTCCTTTCAAGAGAGCCTGGGTTCGAGGGTTAAGGAATCATGCACTGCATGCTCCCAAATAGAAAGGAAGAAACCGAAAAAACTTGGTAGCTGAGCCCTTACTGTTATGGCCAGCTGAACAAGCCAAACAAGTCGGATTGACCGAAGGGAACCAACCAAACCAAATCCATGCACAAGCCTATACTTCAAAATCTTTATAATTGATCAGTTTTGTGAAATCTTTAACTGCAAAATCATAGAGAAAGTCATTAACTATAATATGTGATGGATCACTGTGCCTGTTTCCAATACGTAGCAAATAGCAAAAAAAAAAAAACTGGTGAAAAGAATTAAGTAAGAATTACCTTTGTTACATAGGACTGAAAGATTACCAAAGTTCATCCACTCCAGCACGGTTCCACCATATATTCAATTAAGATGTGAAAAACTTTCAAGTCCTATGACCTATGAAATCTTGAGTAAGGATTCACTTGGCTTTTCCAAGATAGTTTAAATGGTACCTACCACATAGTAAGTGGCTCAAAATGGAGAAAACTCATGTTACATTTCACATGTAAAAGTCTTTCCCCCTTAGTACTGTCCTCAAAGATGAATGATTTGTGGCCCTTCAGATGTTGATGGAGTATAACTTCCATCCATCTTACAAAGCATGGTAAAGCTTTCAGAATGTGTTCAATGGAAGTTAAAGTGCAGGTAACACCTGAAAGTCCACAAAATGTCCATCCATGAACTAGTTCAGTAATATTTCTCAATTTAAGAGATGATAGTCTCTTCTACCATAACTTGTCTTTCATTCTCCGTCCTTTCTCCTTGCAGCTGAGGCTGATTCTTGTCCCAGAAACTGGCTTCAAACTCCAGGGAACTGTTACGCATACTTTGATACCAAGATGACATGGGCAGAAGCTGAGGTAAGAAACATTCCCATGAATTAATATGTAAGTTTTTAAAAATCTTCATGGTCTATTTGGAGGGGACAAAACACTAGGGATGTAGACGGGTCACAGAGGTAGTAAAAGGATATCAAACTTGTTTTTCAAATATTTTTGCTAGTCTCTGCCATGCCAATTTTCCAGCCATTTGCTTCAGTTATATTGATTTAAGTCCCTCCAAATCTGATCCTTCAAATGAGAATTCTGAAAGCAGAAGGTGTAAAAGAGTTCTGAACTCAAAGAGCTCTGGATCTGCATGAATAACTGTGTGAATAAAACCCATTTCCCATTCCTTCAACTCTCAGATTGACTGCCAGAGCTATGGCCGTGGGGCCCATCTTGCTTCTCTCCTCAGTCTGACAGAGTCAGATCTCATCGCCAATCACATCTCAAGTTACCAAAAAGAGAAAAGCAATGTCTGGATTGGACTCCATGATCCCCGTCAGGTGAGCTTCTGCCTTGCTGTGTTTCATTCAGAAATTCTTATCGTCACTGGTTGGTGAGACTTTGGTGATTCCATTCCAATCTCATCTAAACATACTTTCCATTGAATTGTCATTTCCTACAATTTTCTTTTGAAACCTTTCCCTCTTTAGACAGCTCCTTTCCTAATCTCCTAAGGCAGTGGCTCTCAGCCTTCTTAGTGCCACGACCCCTTAATATAGTTCCTTATGTTGTGGTGACCCCCAACCATAAAATTATTTTCATTGCTACGTTATAACTATAACTACTGTTATGAATTGTAATGTAAATATCTGATATGCAGGATGGATTTTCATTCACCGGACCAAATTTGGAACAAATACTTGATATGCCCAAATTTGAATACAGGTGGGATTGGAGGGGGATTGATTTTGTCATTTGGGAGTTGCAGTTGCTGGGATTTATAGTTCACCTACAATCAAAGAACATTCTGAACTCCGCCAACAATAGAATTGAACCGAACTTGGCACACAGAACTCCCATTACCAACAAAAAATACTAGAAGGGTTTGGTGGACATTGACCTTGCGTTTTGGAGTTGTAGTTCCCCTACATCCAGAGAGCACTGTGGACTCAAACAATGATGGATATGGACTAAACTTTGCATGAATGTTCTATATGCCCAAATGTGAACACTGGTGGAGTTTGAGGAAAGTAGACCTTGATGCTTGGGAGTTGTAGTTGCTGGGATTTATAGTTCACCTACAATCAAAGAGCATTCTAAACACCACCAATGATAGAATTGAGCCAAATTTCCCACACAGAACCCTTAAGCCTTGAAGAAACTCTCTGGCCTTGCACGCTTTCCCTCGCTCACACATGTGCACTACACTGCCATGCGCCTTCTCTCCCCTCCCCACTTGGGGTCTCAGAAAAAGCCCTCACCTTGGCTGAGAGGCCTACCAATCACAGTAGAGAAGGGCTTTTGGTGGGAGGATTCGCCATCTGTTTCCAAAAAGGAAGAGAAGAACAGGCGGAGATATCTTCAGCCTTCTCTGCCAAGCACATTCCAAAGACCATCAGAAATATATGTTTTCTGATGGTCTTTGGTGACCCTCTGAAATCCCCTTGAGACCCCCCCAGGAGGTCCCGACCCCCAGGTTGAGAAATGGTGCATTAAGGAAACAGAGGATCTAATAGTTAACTTCCAACAAGTTGACAGATTGCTCAAAAGCACATGTGAATTGCAACACTGGCAATGAAAAAACCAACCACAGAGAGCTCCTTTGTGGGTGTATATGTAGGTGTGTGCTTGCACCCCAAAGTCCTCTCTTGTCCTGAGTTGCCCTTTAAAAACAGCCTTAATACAATGTTGAAAGTAAAAGAAAAGTGCTTTACTTCAGCAGACACGAAGGATAAGTAAATGCCATTGAAAAGTGCAAAAGAAAGCAAGAAAGTCTTAATCCAGACACAAATGAAAGTCTCTTACAAAATCCCAAAAGAAACAGCAGTCTTCCATCAGACAACAGGCAATGAATTAAGTCTTCAGCAGCAGACACAAAACAGATTCCATTGGAGTGAAAGCATCAGTATCAGGGTCGTTGTTACCAGCGAAAGCTGACTGCTTCTGCTACTGATTTTTAGCCCTGAATTCCCCACGCAGGAGGTACTAGGGTGTCTCCCAATTAGCTCAGCGTTTTTAGTAGCTATTCTAGCTGAACACCGTCTGTGCTCTGTCTCTTTTCGTCTCTCTATAAATTTGGGCACTTTCAAAACCTCATTGTCTGATTCTTCTTCTGCCTCCAATTCCTGAGCACTTCCCTGCTCCCCTTTCTCTTCCAAAGATGAGGAATCCCTAACACCTGTTGACATATAGAGACCTCATGAATTTCATAACATTTTCATAGCCATGGAGTATTCAGAGAAAATTTTGCCAGTTCCTTTCTCCTACATACAGTCATCAACATTCAGTATTTGTTGGTGGTCTCACATTCAAGTACTAACCCTGCTTAGCTTCCAAGATCAAACAATACCTCGTGCTATTGGGGTTTTTAGTCACTATTCTCTGGATATTCTCCCCTAACATTCACATTTCTGAATTGACATTTAATAGCAAACCAGATTACAAAATTACAAGAAGTGTAGATATAGCTGTGCCAGTGACTTCCAGTTCATGTATGAGATCAACAGATTCGGATGGGCTAGCTTGTACAAATCTTTGGACCGCAGAAAACAATCCGTTTTTTCCTTCTACAGAATCACAGATGGAGGTGGACTGATGCATCAGTCTACAGTTATAACTCCTGGTACAAATACAAGTCAAAGAACGGTAGCAATAACGAATACTGTGTGGAATTGCTTCTAAATTCAGGTGAGTGAGTGCTTTCTCAAGTACAAAGACATAGTTGCTTGTCTGGATCTAGATGAGTAATGGTCAAGCTTTCATCCTACAGATATTTTGGACCTCAGCTCAAAGTTTTCCTGATTATGGGCTAAGGAAGCTGGGGCTTCTGGGAGCTGGACTGCCAACGTTTAGGACTGAGAGCAACTCCTTTTTTGGATCTAACTCCCAGAAGCCCTGGCTGGCATGTTCAATGATGAGGAATCTGGAGAGCTGAAGTCCAAAAAACCTGGAGGAACAAAGGCTGGACACACTAAAAAAAGTCAATGGGATGTTGGCCTGCATAAATAGGAGCCTAGTGTCTAGATCCAGGGAAGTCATGCTACTCCTCTATTCTGCCTTAGTCAGACCACACCTTGGAATCACCCTGTGTCCAATTCTGGGCACCACAATTCAAGGGAGATGTTGACAAGCTGGAATGCATCCAGAGAATGGCAACTAAAATTATCAAGGGTCTGGAGAACAAGCCCTATAAGGAGCACCTTAAAGAGCTGGGCATGTTTAGCCTGAAGAAGAGAAGGCTGAGAGGAGATATGATGAGGACATTGTATAAATTACATTAGGGGAAGTCCTAGGGAGGAGGGAGCAAGCTTGCTTTCTGCTGCCCTGGAGACTAGGATGTGGAACAAGGGCTTAAAACTACAGGTAGGGAGTTTCCACCTGAATATAAGGAAGAACGTCCTAATTTTTAGAGCTGTTCAGCAGTGGAACTCTCTGTCCTGGAGTGTGGTGAAGGCTCCTTCTTTGGAGACTTTTAAACAGAGACTGGATGGCTATCTGTCAGGGGTGCCTTGAATGCAATTTTCCTGCCTCTTGGCAGAATTGGGTTGGACTGGATAGCCCACAAGATTCTATAATTACTACTTAGAAGTTCAAACTCAGCTTCTATATGAAATTCTTCTAATTGGAGTTCTTGATTCTACATAGACAGAGGTCCTTTGAATGCTCCAGAAGACCTCACCAGCCAAAAGCCTCACCTATTTATTAGGTCTTTAATTTAGGGGAAATTTTCAGGCGTTTTGGGGTTTTGGGGTTTTTTTTTTGCCCAGCTAAGAATCTTGCTAACAAACCAGGATTTCCCTAAAACATGAACCAAAGTGGGGGAATGACCAAAACTTAGCCAGAATGGTGAATAGAATAACATCATATCACTTCCGACATGCTGAAACTTGTTGATGCAGCTTGCTTAGTAGGCACAGAAAAGAAGTGTTCCTCAATACCTGTGCCATTGCCCACTTCTCTCCTATATGAACTTCTATTTTTTAAGGAGGAGGGAGATGGGACATAATGGTTATAAATGACTCTAAATGTTGTTGTGTGTTTTCCAGGCTGTATGACCATGTTCCAGAAGCATTCTCTCCTGACGTTTCACCTGTATCTATGGCAGGTATCCTCAGAGGTTGTGCGGTCTGTTGAAAACTAGGAAAATTAGGTTTATATATCTGTGGAATGTCTAGGGTGGAGAAAGAGGTCTTTCTCCCACCCTGACAGTAAGAAGCCAGACCTTGAAATGGCTAGGCCATTAGATGCTAATCACAGTGGCCAACTGACCTCAAGACAAGAGTTCCACCCTGGACATTCCACAGGCAAAACGTCAGGAGAGAATGCTTCTGGAACATGGCCATACAGCCCGGAAAACACACAACAGCCCAGCAATTCCAGCCATGAAAGCCTTCAACAATACAATGACTAAAGTTCAAAACTAGGGAGGCACGGAAATCTGATGATGTTTCAAGTTGTTATTGTCGTAATTATTTTAGTATTTGTATTGTATATGTAAATGTGTGTGTTCATGTGTATATATTAATGACTGCTCATATTTTAGGTCATAAAGAGTGGAACGATATTTCGTGTCGAACTCTTAATACTTACATCTGCAAGTATGAACGCTAGAGGAGGCGGCAGCTTCCAGCGAAGCCTTCTTGAATGTTGAATGCTTGGATCAATTGGCTTCAGATGCTGTTACCTCTTCCCAGTCAAACAAGCAATCCACCTCCACCGTCTTCCAAAAGCACCATCAGAGAATTTACTTCCTTGGAAACTGCGTTCTGATACTCTGCAGAAAATTAATAAACTCCCTCTCAGGCATACATTGGCTGGTGTTTTTCCGTCATTCCATTTTATTTGTTCTCTACTCATTCTCCCTCTTCTGGCATACCAAGAAATTGCCACTGGTGATTGTAGGAAACCTTTTCATTCACTGGACCAAATCTGGCACAAATATCCAATACACCCAAATTTGAACACCGGTGAGGTTCGGGGGGAGGGATTGATTTTGTCATTTGGGAGTTGTCGTTATTGGGATTTATAGTTAACCGACAATCAAAGAGCACGCTGAACTCTACCAATGATGGAATTGAACCAAACGTGGCACACAGATCTCCCATGACTAATAGAAAATACTGGAAGGGTTTGGTTGGCATTGACCTTGAGTTTTGAAGTTGTAGTTCACCTACATCCTGGGAGCACTGTGGACTAAAATAATGATGGATCTGGAGCAAACTTGGCACAAATCCTCAATATGCCCAAATGTGAACACTGGTGGAGTTTGGGGAAATAGACCTTGATATTTGGGGGTTGTAGTTACTGGGATTTATAGTTTACCTACAATCAAAGAGCATTCTGAACACCACCAACAATAGAATTGGGCCAAACTTCCCACACAGAACCCCCACGACCAACAGAAAATACTGTGTTACAGATGGTCTTTGGTGGCCCCTCTGACACCCCTTCACAACCCCCCTAGGGCTCCCGACCCCCAGGTTGAGAAACACTGAACTAAGTAAATCTAAATATAATCTAATTCATGAAAGTCAAAGCCATGAAAGTGGGGGGGGGGGGGTTACTGTAGTGTAACTTTGGCTGGATCTACACTTCCCTATATCCCAGGATCTGATCCCAGATTATCTTCTTATCCCAGACTATTTGTCTGTGTGGATACATATAATCGAGTTCAAATCAGATAATTTGGGATCAGATCCGAGGATATGCAGCAGTGTAGATCCAGGCTTCATCTCCTTTTCCCCTTCCTGGTCAAAGAGATGCTTCTTAGATTTTGTCATACAAATAGGTTTTTAGTCATCATGCTGGTGAAGATGCTTTGCAATGTGAGGCATCCTCCAGCAATTTTTGAGGTTGGAAGCATCTCTGGAATTTCCTGTCAGTCTGCCCTTACACCTGACTTGTGAGGAATAATTATGCTCTTCCTTCCTACCGGAGTAATACCTGCCTCAGTATTTCTCTTCATCCAAGAAGGGCATCAGAAGGGAACAGAGCATCATAACACAAAGGTGAGCTTTGAAAACTAACTGAGCAAAAGTGATGTCTTTATGATGCAGTATCTTATCTTCTAGGAATTATAAATATGTTACTTTACAATTATAGGTAGCTAGCTACTAAACTTGTGCAAAATTTTAGATCGGAACTCGTATCTGATTCGTTAAATTTGGACATATGAAGGTGAGTTCCGAGGCATGCAGGAAAGGTGATGGTGAATTTAGAATTTGAATCACCAATTTTTTCGTATATGATTTATTACGTTTGGATGTCTCCCAAGGTTAGTTTAATTTTCACTATAACCATTAAGCAACTTTTATAAAGCTGCTTTTAAAATCTTTTAAAATCTCATGCTTTTGGCCCCATCTTCGCCAGTTCTGCCATAAGGGAGACCCTGCGGATGTGGTTAATCACAGCCACTTAACTATAGTTTGGGAAAGCCAGGCCCCCAATGATAGAGATTACAAAAGGCCCTACCTTAAACTACGTTCCCCAGTATGCCTTGGGAGGATAATGCACCAAACAGGAGAGGAAAGAGAAATAAGAGGTCAAACATATTTAGAAACAGGTCTAATATTTGAAGCACCAAAACATAGGTTGGCCTGGGATGTAAGATAAGTAATAGGAAAGTCATCTGTAAAGGTTTGTGACTTGGAAAAGGTGGATGGATGAGACTGAAATGGCAGGGAGGAGGTTTGAGGAAAAGAGACAAAAGAGAGTTCCCGAGGTCTGCAAAAGTATGGTTTATTCTCGGTTGGCGCCAACCGGATATGGACCCTGCTGGTATTCCAGGAAACAGGATGATGAACAAAGGAATTGCCTTGGTTTATATACCCTTTATAATAATATGCATACATCATACAAGCATCATAATGTGTGTCACAAAATTTCACTTTTACATTGTCTTCAATAGCATATTTTAAACTTCAAGACCTTTAATCTTCCATTAAGCACCTTTATCTAAAGAGTTGCTATTAGAGGACCATCTGTACCCCATAGCACCAGAGTGTCTCCTACCGGCTACTGATAGCAAGAACTTCCATCCATCTTGAGATAAGTCCCACCTGAAGAAGCCTCTTTTTTAAATATATATATATATTATTAAGTTTTTCAGATACAATAAAAGAGGGGGAACATTTAGTTTGTATAGAAAAGTAGGAAAGTATAAAGATATGGCCAGTAGAAGAAAAAGGAGAGAGAGAGAGAGAGAAGAACCCACACCCGAAACTTGGGGTTGGGGTTTGGGTAGGGGGTTTAGTTTGACTTCCAATCTTCTTCGCCTTGGATTTAATCTTCCCTAGTCATTACATCACTCTTGATTTTTGGCAAGCTTCTTTACATAGTCTCTCCTAAGAGCATTTCTTATTAAAATTTATCTTATCTCTATCATCCATTTCAGGTTTTCTTGTATCATAAAATTCTTTATTGGTGTCCAGTCTGTCCTGGGTATTTTAATATTCTGCTTTATATTCATCCGTTGTGTTAGTCTGTCCATGTTCATAATCTCTAGGATTTTCATTAGCCAATGTTCTTGAGATGGGATTTCTTTCGTTCTCCATAGTCTAGCATAGTTTATTCTGGCCGCTGTCACTAGATAATTAAAGGGTTTGTCCTTATTTAAGTCCACTTTGAAATCTATTATTCTTAAGAGAAAATATTCTGGTTTAAATTCTAGCTTTATGTCTAAATTTTTTCTATTTTTTCGTGAATATTCTTCCAATATGATTTGGCAATTTTACAGGTCCACCACATATGGAAGAAGGAGCCCATTTCTTCCTCGCACTTCCAACTTTTATCATTTGTTTTTGGGTAACATTTGGCCAATTTCCGAGGTGTAATGTACCATCTGTACATCATTTTAACCAGTTTTCTTTTAAGTCAAATGCATATGTGTATTTGATTTTTTTTATTCCAGATTTTTTTCCCAATCTTCTAATTGTATTGCATGTCCGATATTTGCTGCCCACTTAACCATACAATATTTAATTAGCTGTGTTTCAGTAGACCATTCTAATAGCTTCCTATATATTTTTGTTATTGTCTTGTTTTCAGACATTAGTATCGTGTCCCAAAAAGTTTCTTTATCCATAAATCCTATTTTTTGTCTTTCATGTAATATTCTCTAATTTGTCTATATTGGAACCAGGATATTCCTTCATCTACCATGCTTAGCTCTTCTTGGGTTTTCAATGTGTACTCCTTATTCTGTTTTTTCAAGATATCCACCTGAAGAAGCCTCTTGATGGCAAGGCTACATCATTAATCTTATGATAAGCCCTGTTTGGTACGGCATGGAAGGGTCTCTTGATATTTGCCAGAAGCCTTAGATATTCCTTTCCATAGACTTCTTTCTGGCCTCTTTGTGGCATCTAATATGCAGCTTTTAGGAAGAGCATCTCTTCCCAAGTGAATGTTCATGCACACATATCCCTCTGTGATTTCATATATATTTTCTAATTCCTATTTCTAATATGGTTACATCCAATATATATTTTCCAATATGTGTATTATGTATTTTCATCATGCCTTCATCAGGACAAAGCTAAATTTTGAATTGCGATTCATTCACTGTATTGTGATTTTGTATACACCAGGCATGAGCAAACATTGGCCCTCCAGGTGTTTTGGACTTCAACTCCCACAATTCCTAACAGCCTACCGGCTGTTAGGAATTGTGGGAGTTGAAGTCCAAAACACCTGGAGGACCAAAGTTTGCCCATGCCTGGTATATAATGTGAAAAATTAATTACATGTAAATAAATTCTTTTTAAAAATTGATTTTCCATCTCAGGTACCCAACTGCATTTCGACCCCCTTTCCCAACAGATAGCAATGGCACATAAATACACACGTTCCGGCCTAACCGTGGCACTCTTTGTGGTGTCGGTTTGGTTGGCCTTGGCCAGTGCAAAAAGCTACCAGAAATTCCTTCGAGAACACGTCGACTATCCTGTAACCCAGGTTCCCGACATCCAGCATTATTGCAACCTCATGATGAAACGCCGCAACATGGCGAAACCCAACTACTGCAAGCACCTCAACACCTTCCTCCATGTGGACACCCCCCAAATCCAAGCGGTGTGCGGCCAAGCTGGGGAGCCTACCACTGGAGACCTCCGGGAAAGCGAGGACAGCTTCCCCATGACAGTGTGCCGCCTGCAGAAGGGCTCTTGGGCCCCGGATTGCCAATATGAAGGAGCCCATGGCATAGAGAGAGTCGTCATCGCCTGCGAGGAAGGTTTCCCTGTCCATTTGGAAACCGAGGTCCCCGATTATTGAGGCGTCTTTGGACACAACACTTTGCTCTTTCTTTTCCTCCATCTCTTTACTATTTCCTAAATTATATTCATACCATCCAACTATCCCAGTTTGACAGTGAATGTGTTTACACCATTACTTGGGCCCTCCAGGTGTTTTGGACTTCAACTCCCAGAATTGTGGGAGCTGAAGTCAAAAACACCTGGAGGGCCCAAGTTGGCCCACACCTGATTTACACTGTTGAATGAATGCTGTTTCATATCTCTGGGATTCATAATGCAAAGAGAGTTTACACCCAACTAAGGTTGCATCTTCACTATAGAATTAATGCAGTTTGGCCTACTTTTATTGCCATGGCTCACTCCTCTGTAATCATGAGAGCTGTAGTTTTACAAATCTCAAAGCAGTTACTCTACTTGGAACTCAAGAACAGAAAACAGGATGTTCATGGGCAGGAAAAGATATTTAAAGATGGACTCAAGGCCAACCTTAAAAACTGTGGCATCGACACTGAGTTCTGGGAAGCCCTGGCCCTTGAGCTCTCTAACTGGAGGTCAGCTGTGACCAGCAGTGCTGCAGAATTTGAAGAGGCATGAATGGAGGGCTAAAGGGAGAAATGTGCCAAGAGGAAGGCACGTCAAAGAACCACCTTCTGTCTGGAAACCTATGTCCTCTCTGCGGGAGAACGTGCGGATCAAGAATAGGGATCCACAGCCACCTACAGACCCACTGCCAAGACACCACATCTGGAAGACCATCATCCTTGAACTACGAGGGATCATCTAAGGAAGTAAGGAAGTTTTACAAAGTCTTGGGCTTTCCCTGTTCAGGAGTGCTGGTAATGCACCAAACTATAACTCTTAGAATTCTATAGATTTGAGACATGGCAGCCAAAGTGGTGTCAAACTGCATTAAATCTACAATGTAGATGCTCCTTAACTGAGGAAAGAAAAGAAGAGAGAAGATGAGATTTTCTGCAGATTCAGACAAAAGTAAACTGCTGCAGCCTTTCCTAGTTCGTATGTTCCTTACTAATAACTTTTACCATGTTAACTATACATTTATGTTGCTTTAGCATATATGCCCCAGCTGTAAACAATTCAATTTGACCTCCATATTCTTATTCATATTTTGAGAATAAAGTAAATTTAACAACAGCAATTTCACTTTTATTTCTGGGCAGAGAATATAGAATTATAGAGTGGGCCATCCAGTCCACCCCATTCTGCCAAGAAGCAGGTAAATCACATTCAAAGCATCCCCAGCAGATCCAGCCTCTGTTTAAAAGCCTCCAAAAAAGGAGCCTCCACCACACTCTGGAGCAGAGAGTTCCACTACTGAACAGCTCTCACAGTTAGGAAGTTCTTCCTAGTGTTCCGGCGGAATCTCCATTTCTGAAGTTTGAAGCCATTGTTCTGTGTCGTAGTCTCCAGGGCAACAGAAAACAAGCTTGCTCCCTCCTCCCTATGACTTCCCCTCACATATTTATACAGGGTCCTCATCATATCTCCTCTCAGCCGTCTCTTCTGCAAGGTAAACATGCTCAGCTCTTTAAACCGCTCCTCATAGGGTTTGTTCTCCAGACCCTTGATCATTTGAGTCGCCCTCCTCTGGACACATCCCAGCTTGTCAACATCTCTCTTCAATTGTGGTGCCCAGAATTGGACACAGTGTAATTCCAAGTGTGGTCTAGCCAAGGCAGAATAGCAGCATGACTTCCCTGAGTCTAGACACTAGACTCCTAATTATGCAAGCCAAAATCCCATTGTTTTTTGTTTGTTTGTTTGTTTGTTTGTTTGTTTTTTGGCTGCTGGATCAAATTGTTGGGTCATGTTCACCTTACAGTCCACAAAGACTCCAAAATCTTTTCCACACATACTGCTGTCACGCCAGGCATCCCCCATTCTGTATTTTTGCTTTTTTTTTTTTTTGCCTAAGTGGAGTATCTTGCTTTTGTCCCTGTTGAACTTCATTTTGTTAAATGTATTGTCAAAGGCTTTCATGGCCGGAATCACTGGGTTGTTGTAGGTTTTTTCGGGCTATATGGCCATGGTCTAGAGGCATTCTCTCCTGACGTTTCGCCTGCATCTATGGCAAGCATCCTCAGAGGTAGTGAGGTCTGTTGGAACTAGGAAAAAGGGTTTATATATCTGTGGAAAGACCAGGGTGGGACAAAGGACTCTTGTCTGCTGGAGCTAGATGTGAATGTTTCAGCTGACCGCCTTGATTAGCATATAATGGCTTGACAGTGCCTAGAGAAAACTTTTGTTGAGAGGTGATTCATTTTGTTGGTTTTGCCCCTCTGACATCCCCAACCGACCCCAAAGGTTGAGAAACACTGACATCCCCAACCGACCCCAATGATACCAGAACCTATCATGGAGTTTTCTTGGTAACTTTTATTCAGAGTCGGTTTGCATTTGTCATCCTGTGAGACTGTGAGTGTGCAATTTGCTAAAGGTTATGAATTATGAAGGACAATGCTTCTCAGCATCTCTACACATCCTTGTTTGGGACAATGCTTCTCAGCATCTCTACACATCCTTGGCAGATATCAGGGTCAGTATCTCAAAAAGGTAGTTTTTCCAAGCTCTTGTTGTTGCTGTTGTTCATTCGTCCAGTCGTTTCCGACTCGTCGTGACTTCATGGACCAGTCCACACCAGAGCTCCTTGTCGGCCGTCACCACCCCCAGCTCCTTCAAGGTCAATCCAGTCACTTCAAGGATTCCAAGCTCTGCTCATCAGAAATTATTATTATTATTATTATTATTATTATTATTATTACTATTATCTTTATTTATACCCCGCAAAATCTCCCGAAGGACTTGATGCGGCTTACAAAGGCCAAGGCCGCAACAAACAACAACATACAAATATAAAAGTAAAACTCATAAGCAAATAATAAAACATCAAGCAAAGACAATAAAACACTAAAAACAATGACCCATGATGCATTTAAAATCTAAAAGGCCGGGCCTAATGTAATGGACAAAATTTAAAAGTGCTGAACTTGACAGGAGGTATGTAGAGGTTTTTGGAGGTAGGTGAAATGTGCAGACAATCTTAGTCTCTAACAAAGTGCATTTGGGACATGATGCCAGGAGTTTCCTAATCTGGAAAGGCACACTGGAACAGCCAGGTCTTCAGGCTCTTCCTAAAGATTGCCAATGTTGGGGCTTGTCTGATGTCCTTGGGGAGAGTGTTCCCGAGTGGGGGGCCACCACAGAGAAGGCCCTGTCCCTCGTCCCCACCAAACGCACTTGCGACGCAGGTGGGATCGTGAGCAAGACCTCTCCAGATGATTGAAGGGAACGTGTGGGTTCATATATGAAGATGTGGTCACGCAGGTAGGCGAGTCCCAAACCGTTTAGGACTTTGTAGGTGAGCACCTGCACCTTGAACTGGGACCGAAAGATGAACAGCAGCCAATGGAGCTCCTTAAACAGGAGGGTTGACCTCTCTGTGTAAGGAGCGCCATTTAACAGCCTGGACGCCGACCGTTGGACCAGTTGGAATTTCCGAGCCGTTTTCAAGGGCAGCCCCATGTAGAGCACATTACAATCTAGTCCAATCTAGAGGTGACCAAGGCATGGACCACCCTGGCCAGATCAGCCTTTACAAGGTATGGCTGCAATTGGCGCATGAGTCTCAATTGTACAAAAGCCCTCCCGGCCACCGCCGACGCCTGAGCCTCAAGCGTAAGTGATGAGTCCAGAAGGACACCCAAACTGCGGACCTGTGACTTCAGGGGGAGTGTAACCCCGTCCAACACAGGTTGCTACCCTATACCCCGAATTGTGGGGTGTGATATAAAAAATGGGACTCTTACTCCCTTCCATGTAAGAACACCAGGCCCATGGCATTACACCTCATAACCTCATTGAGTCACACAAGGAGAGTCATCTAAAGACAAAAGAGGAGTTATCCACCTTACCTTTCATCATTGGGTCCCACCAGTGAGTTCTGCCCAGCAAACCCAGGCATGTTGATGTGATCCTGGATCACCATGATGTCTCCCACTTTGTACTCAGGGTTCAGCCCCCCCCCCCCCCCCCCCCGGCTGCATTGGTCACGCCAAGGAGATGGAAGGTCACCTGGGAAGAGGAACGGAAAAGAAGGCAATCGTGAGAGGTGGGCAGGCTTCTCCAATGCAAGACAGAACAGATAAGTCCTAGGTCTGTTTGCAGAACTCAATCTATTCCAGGATATATTCTCAGGAAACTTGGGACATGCATCCACTGTTCAGTTTTAAAGCTCTCTAAACCAGTGGTTGTCAACCTGTGGGTCTCCAGATGTTTTGGCCTACAACTCCTAGAAATCCCAGCCGGTTTACAAGCTGTTAGGATTTATTGTTATTATTATTATTAAACTTTATTTGTACCCCACTAGCATCTCCCGAAGGACTCGATTGAGGCCAAGGCCTCAATACACAACATAACAATACACCTAAAGCAAATTAAAACAATTAAAGCAGTATTAAAACAACAAGACAACAAGCAATAAACAATACATCAAAACACAATAAAACTGGGCCGGGCCAGAGTAAAGGGTACAGGATTAAAAAGTGCTGATGTGACAGGTGATATGTAAGGATTATAGAGCAAGTGCAGTTTGCAATGTGCGGCAATCTTAATTCTAATAAAGTGCTAATTGGGGAAGGCACATCGGAACAACCAGGTCTTCAAGTTCTTTCTGAAGACTGCCAATGTAGGGGCCTGTCTAAGATCTTTGGGGAGGGTATTCCAGAGACGGGGGGCCACCACGGAAAAGGCCCTGTCTCGTGTCCCCACCAAATGCGCTTGCGACGCAGGCGGGATCACGAGCAGGGCCTCTCCAGATGAACGTAGTGAACGCGTGGGTTCGTAGATGGAGTTGCAGTCACGCAGGTAGGCTGGTCCCAAACCGTTCAGGGCTTTGTAGGTAAGCACCTGCACCTTAAATTGGGCTCGGAAGATAAACGGCAGCCAGCGGAGCTCCTTGAACAGGAGGGTTGACCTCTCTCTGTAGGGAGCGCCAGTTAACATCCTGGCCGCTGCTCGTTAGACAAGTTGGAATTTCCGAGCC